TGTCCAGGGTTTGGGAAATCAAGGAGCTTTGTGAGAAGGATTGCAGGATCCAGTGAAGCCAGGAACTGGCACAGGGAACTGCCATCTCCTTTTCATGTCAACATCCATAGAACCTGCAGGAACCTGCAGAAACAGTGACAGCAGAAGGACATAATGAAAGGGTTACCTAAGGAGGGTATTGTCCAAAGCCTCCTTCTTGCCAACTTCAGTTCTCTTTTCCTACTTTCAAGATGTTATTGACTACTTCTCTTGATTGACTTTACTGTCCTCCCCACCCCCAATTTTAGACTTTTTTTTTTTTTTTAAGAAAGTTGAAAAGGGGGATATCTAAAGGCTGTGCATAATCACACCCTTACAGATAGTTCTATACCACCTCTTCCTATTCCCTCTGTTCCCTATGCTCCCTGTGTCCTTACTGTCCCAGATACCAGGAATATCTGCCCTTGGAACGTGTAGCTGCATGGGATGGTTATCTGAATGCAGGCTGTGGAACTCAGGCCCTGAAGCCAAATCTATGCTGTGCTTATCCCCCATTCTCTAAATAGCTACTCCAGCTGATGATGCTCATTTCTTTTGCTGCATAGGTGATGTACGTATCCCACGTTGATAAGCCACATGTTGTCTTGATAAAGGAACCCCTGAAAACAAGCTTGCAGGATGCTGAAGGCAAGGTCGTTGAGGTAAGGACATGCACAAACCTTTGGGATTCCCTCTTCAGGAGGGAAAACTGAGGAATGTCATTCTCAAATGACTAGGATCTTTTTTTTCTTAGAGGAACTAAAACTAGAGTCCTGTTGCCAGCCTGCAGTTAGTAAATCCTGTGACCAGAGGATGTGTTTTCTAGAGTCACTTAAAGCTACTTCTTTCTTTGGTGTATTTATGCCAGTGGGAGTGCGTTGGTGTTGAAACAACTTGTGAGGTGTTAATTTGGTTTCACTAGAGTGGGTGCTGGCAACACAGAAAGACTATCCTCCTCCAGATCTGCTGATCTGTCGTCATTATGCCTATTGTGTGGTGTCAAGTGAAAAGCCCAAGGGTGAGGATCTCTGTGATAAATTCACTCTACAGAGGGGTAAAGTAGCAGGTGTTGTCTTCTCTTCTCAAATTTATTTCGGTAATTGTTGTTGTAGAGCCACCCTGAGAAATTCTCTGATTGTGTCGACTGCTGCACCCATAGATCCAATAAGGACTCTGTTACAAACGGATATGATATGCAGCCTTTCCATAGGGAAATGGCCTCCTCCCAGGCCCACCTACTGTGGTGCCACTGTGGGGAATGCCAGAATACAAATAAGCGCCATGAGCAGCTCTGCTGCCGAAGCAAAGAAGGGGAATGCATCACAACGTCCCCGTTATTTGAGCGACTAGTGCTGTCCAGAGACAACCTGAGAGATATCCTTCTCTACAAAGAGCCTTTTCTGGACTTGAACAATATGAATGCCAACGACAAGCTGCGTCGCTGTGCTTTCAAGCAGTACATTCGCTGGCGCTTTGGCTCTTTCGATCTGGAAGACAGAGCTGTCATCCCAAGCTGCTGCAGGTGGAAGATTAGAAATATTTACCCCAAATGTGGTGGCAACTATACTGGTTTTAAGGCTATATGAGGATGCTGTAGCACAATTGGAGCTCACACGGGGACTTTTAACCTTTTAACCTGGGCATTTAACTAACCATTTGTTTTCCAAAAAAAAAAAAAAAAAAAAGGAAAGGGAAAGGAAGATGCAACTTTCCAAAATCTCTGTATAACTGAATTCTGTACACACTGTCATTGCAGAGGCAGTAATGCTCAAGTCTTAGCTGGAGGAACCATTACTTTGAGTTAAAATGCTGCTTCTGCTTTTGCTTCTCTGAGTCATCCCATGCGGAACCTATATCATGGTTGAGAAATGTAGCCTCTGGGTGAATTCTTGTAGGTTTGTTCTAGTGGGAGGTTCCAGGCCTCCTGCCTCTGCGTTCATGTGTACCAGAATCGCAGCTGAGTCAGGTCACCCGTACCCTGAAAATAAGATGGAACCAAGCGTCATCTCAAAGCATGACCCCTGAAAAAGGAAGTCTGAAAGGGACATCACTTGAAAATATGGGCCTGAGCTTTTCTGTCATCCCTCCTTTTGAAAGGATTCTGCATCCCTGGATAGCGAGGCTCCGTAAAGAGGCCACCGTGCATAAAGTTTTATAGCTCACTATTGTAGGCTGTCCAGATTAAACAGGCTCATCTTGGATGATTTCAGTGACAGAGAAAAACATTTTCTGAAAAGCCCAGCTGTTCTCCTTGTATTACTCCTTTCAGCTTAAACTCAGGAATTACAATGAAATGTATTTTTATCGTCCTGTTATATTTTCAGACAATTCATTCAGACAAGTTAACATTAGACTTTGGCCTCATGTCTGCTCTTAGCTTCAAACAGGCCTTGCCTCCTACACCTCTTCTACTGAACTAGGAATAATGAGAGTTGCTTTGTGCTGTGAGGACATGAGGCCAGAGTACAGTCAAGGGGCAGAAAATTCAAGCTAGATTAAACTGTGCTTCAGCACCTTTCCAGTTCTTTTCTTTTGTTATACTTTGACACATTCTATTTTTATCAAACAAGGTGAGAAGGATTGTAACATATATATTCCACACTTCCTTCAACTAGGGTTTATTCTTTCTGTGCTAACCCAGCATTTCAATTGCCCATATAATTTTTTAAGATATATTACTGGCAGATCATGCAAGCTATATTTAGTTGTATTTAGCTGTCTTCAGTTGTAATATGCATTAATTGCTCTAGCTTTCTCATTGCAGCATTTCATGTACCTAGAGTGGTGAAAGATTACAGCTGGTACTAATCCTTTCCTGTTCTGACACATGCACTGGCTTTCCTTTTGGAAAGAATGACAATGGATATTCACTTAAGATTGTGATTTAAATATCATGTCATGATTTTTTATATATGTTCCTTATCATCTCTTTTTTCTCATACTGATTTTGACTATTTTTTTTTAAATAGAGCATTTTACAAATCCGCAGCTGAGTCAAAGTTTCTTTAACGATTTTACAATGTCTTAAATCCCCACAGCCAGTTTAGATGAGTACTGCCAGAAGACAAATAAAGGACTCGCTCACTGGGTGTGGGAAGGTAACTGTCTTAGGTTTGCTTCTGCTATCTCTCACAGGCAAATGCTCTGTCCTTGCTCTGAGCCAGCTGGAAATTATGTCTCAGATGGCCCCTTCTTGAGGTCATCTGTCCAGCGCTCAGTGTGGAGCTGCCTGCAGCAGACTTCCAGGTAACAGCTGACTCCTGTCTGGTCAGTATGGAGCACTGATCCTGTCTGCAGAACAGCAGCTGGACACAATCACCAGTGATCTCCATAGAACAAATCCCACATTGATTCCATCGGGAGCAGTGCTGGGGCCATGCTGTGTTTATGATTATTGACTGGTTTGAGCACTGCTGTCCTCCCCAGCCACAGTCGATTCCACAGTGCCAGAGGGTCAGGACAGTGCCAGGGCAATGAAAAATCCCTGTCTCTCAGGTAATATGTTCTGGGCAGCTCAGGATTATTTAGCATCTTTCTGTGACCATCTGCACCCTGCCTGTTTGGGTCCTCTCACCTCCATTTGGAACAACCCTTCCTTTTCCTTTCCCTCTTGGACTGCCGGGCGTTTCAAAATCCATGTCAGTGATGCTCTGGGTGTCCATATAAACAGCTACAAGGACAGTGGCTGGGAAACCTTCTTGAAAAGATTTATTTGAAAAAAAGACGGAACTCAGTCTTGTCCCTTTTTTTTTTCCTTATGAATGACATGAGAAGAACAGTAGAAAACGTTTGTTTCCCAAATGGTTTTGTACATAATAGGAGCTTGCAGTTTGTCTTATTCCATGCTGTATTTGTTATTTGATAAAACTCTCTCCCTCTAGTTATCTCAGAAGCAGCTTGCAAAAGGCTCTTTCTTGATGCCCATGAATTCTCCCAGCCCTATGGTGAGCCTTGAAAGACATGGAGGAAGCTTTAGAGCTGGAGAAAGGCAGTGGGGGAAGTATCCATTCCCTTTGCAGAAAGGAAAGCTGTAATCGCTGAGCTCTTGGTGGGAAATTCAGAAATGGAATTAGCAGGTAAAGGGAATGGGATCCCCATGTTGTCCATTTTTATTAAATCTTTGCTAACCTCTCATGAGGTTCGACAGCAGCTTACAGAGGTTAAAACCAAATCTCTGACAAGTAGCACAGGAAAACCTCAGGCCGGCTAACAGCCTGCCTTCATGTAGCGTGTGTGCGCGTGCTGCTTTGGCAGAGAGGGGACAGAAAATCACCCGACCTGAGCCCCTGTCGCAGGAGCATCCTCGGAGGCTGAGCCGAGCCCTTGGCTGCACTGAGGGCATGGCAGGTCCCTGTCTCTCCTGCTGCTTCCAGCACCCTGTCCTCCCGCACCCAGTAGGGCACAGGCCTCCCCTG